CACCTATGGCAGTATCCTGCGAGAGTTAAATAGGAGGATCGCCCTAGCTTCGAATACTTTTGACAGCTGTCCAATTTGATCTGACAAAAAAGTTAATCTTCCCACGAAAATTCGCTTGTGCCTAGCCTCTGTCATATCAGTTTGTTATATGGCATGGAGGCAGTTAATTTAACGAATGAGGAAGAACTGCGGTAGAACTGTGCAAAACAGTTATGATTTCGACACATAATGGGTATTAAATGGCAAGACCACGTAAGGAATGAGTCTGTTCTCTTCAGGAGACAGATGACCTAACTAAATGTGGAGATTAAGAAAAGATATTTTCCCTGTTAGAGAAACTGATTGTGAATAAACAGGTTACTACAGTCCGTGAGCTGCTCGTATGGGAGCCGAATCATCCCAAACGTCCGCCAGTTGGCCAACAAGGCAGATTTGATATCGAAGAGGAATGTGTCCTTCTGCCAGGCACGATCGACAAGTTGTGAATGCGTACTACAGCTCATGTTGACTTGTAAATTAGCTTTGGCCTTTCTCGCTAACCCCTTTATGGCGTTCTTCCAGCCTGATGACAGGTCTTCGCCGATGTATTTGTTGAGACATTCTCATGCCTGTATCAATAGCGCTTCTTTTATCTTACGCTTCCGGTATTCTCTTTTGTGTCATATGCCGTTAATGATTTTCCAGTCGACAGTGTGACCCTCTTTCACCGCGTGTTCGATCAATGGGAGGCTTTTTTCTCGCATTTTTTCTTTATTTCCATTTGCTCGTTAGTCAGTTTCCTTCTGCGTCTTTTGTGTTCTTGTCCATGCTCCCTTTGTCTTCGGTTCTTATCCTTTTGATTGACATTACTCCAATTTGAGTGGTTCGAACAGCGTTTTTTCTTCCTGTCTTTGAGTCTGTTGCCAGTTTCCCCAGCATAAGTAAGTCCGCATTCGCAGGGTATAGTATAGATACAGCCATAGTTTCTTCCTACATTTCGATGGTTTTTATATGGATGAGCTAGCTGCTAAGCGTGATGACAGACGCAGAGCAACCGTACAGTAAGCTTGGGGGCTTTTCTTCGTAGTTTCTCATGGAGACCAAGTATTTAAGGGATGATGACTGTTGGGAAGTTGAGGTTCAGCGTTTTGACCGGTTTTGTATTGTTTTGTTGTTTGTTTTCCTGCGTTTTGATAGCTTCATTGATGAGTTTAGTTGAATATACGTTAATCCTTAAGCTGTTAAAATATGCCGCAGATCTTTTCGGGTGTCATGTTCTTCGTGCATAATTTCTGGGTACTTGTGGATTAAGGTGTTTATAATGCTTTTTTTCACGCTGTAAGGTTGGTTTAAATTGTAGGGTAAGAAGCGACTCGTATGGGTCTGCTTGTGGTGGCTGGACTTTTGTTTAACTTCCCCTTCTTCAGGATATTAGTACCTCCAGGAACGGTAAAACTCCGTTTTGTTCAACTTCCGTCATGCAGGAGACGTTTCTTGGAAATGAGTTTGGGTGGGTCAGGAGATTTTCTGCCTAGCCCTGGTGATGTTTCGATCTGTGTAGCGAAACGCGTCGACAATAAACTGTTCTACCATTTGTTTTATTTGGTGCCATGACCCATGAATCATTCAAACATCTGTCTGTAGGAAAAGGTTTCGCGTTCTTTTTTGGCAAATGACAGATATCGACCACATACCTTTCGAAGAAAACAGATTGCGTTCTTGCTGTTGTTTTAAACACACTAGTCTCGACAAGTTCCATGAAGACTTCGGCAATGGATGGTGACAGCCAGCTTCCCATCGGCGCTCCTTTCGCTTGCTGGTACAGGTCACCATTGAAACAAAAGTAGTTGTAGTCTACCATGCAGATTTTTAGGGGGTTTCATGGTTTTTGTTGAGAGTGTAGTCTGTTTTAAGCTCTTTGGTCTGCTACGAAGAGATAGACTTATTTTTGGGAAACCAGTGGTAGGAAGAAAAATCACCATTCGTACTTCAAAACATGAAGTAATGCCGATCCATCAAAGTATGGACAAGAACAAAAAGGACGTGTTAGAAAACAGACTAAGAACCCAATAGGAAGAATGCGAGGAAAAAAATTCTGCACTAATCGACATGCGGTGAGAGTCACACTGGTGACTAAAAAACATGAAGGGGA